GTACCCGCTCTGTATCGATGACAGCATTTAATGAATCCCTCGTGGCTTCGACGCGTTTTCAAATGCTATTAACTAGCTATAATTAATGTCACAATAGGTTAGCGCGGATAACGATGTCAGATCTAATTGACTATTGAAAAATTCTCTACGTTATTATTTTTATAGCTTCTTTCGCTGTATAAAGTTATTATTCGTTACATTTTTATTTTACTTCTTAATTAACAACGCCTGATTGCTTGGGATTCACCTGGTCGATTACATCTCCAAGACTCGCAAACAATGTCGTTACTAAGCACGTGACTTTTGTTTAATCAATATTTATAATTGACTTTACAAATTGAGGTGAAGCTTTTTGTTTCACATTCAAGCAGTTAGCAGCTAAACTGAAATTTCACTTCGTATACGATTTTTACTTTAGCTTTAAATATAGTAAATTAAAACAGAATTGAATGAGTAATACTTTCTTTTATAGAAATTTGAAATGTTGCAGAGCCGAATGTCGTCTACAGACAGAATACATAGATATTTGATCGCTGCTTTATTTGGTAAAGGTCGGAGGTCAAACGCTGGTTGGTTGATTGCGGGTTCAAGGAACGGTTTTACGAAATGCTTTTGAATTCGCCAACCCCAATTCACGCACACCTGGAGCGTATTTGTTTAGTAACTTCAATATTTATTGAATGGATTCATGTTTTTGAACACCCTGTATATTTTCGATATGTTTTTATACAACATTTCATTTATTCCTTTGAAGTCTTTATTATTAAAAGGCGGTTAATATTCTGTCGACTGTAAAACAAATAATTATTTATTGATATTTTGATAATGTCCACTTATACCTAATATATGCAACGTGAATGTTTAATGTTGAATTCTTTCGTGTAATAAAATTAAAATCAGTACACTAGGCGCACATAGTTACATATAGTTCTTGTTCTTTTACAAGCTAGGTAGCAATATACTGAGTGGTAGGTATGTTCGTCATTGTCATTCTGAGAAAGGGCCCCGTGGCCATTGTCGTCGCGCTTTGCTTTCTTGCTTTGAGCACTAGACAGCATACGAATTTTTATTGTATTTTTTTATTTTATCGGACAAGTGTTTTGTTCTATACTGTTTTAACAAAAGGTCAATATGTCTATTTTTGATGGGCATTGTTCGTTTGGATATAAAGAGGCTATTGTTTTACAACATATGGTATAGAATTTTAAAATAAATAAGTAAATTTGTAAATATTTCGTCGATTTTATCTTAACTTTTAGGTATTAATGAATACACATATGATGACATAAAGTTATGTCACCGCGACTAGCTGTCACTTGCGACTTTGTCTGCGCGTGTATACAAAATATATGTTAGTATCATAGGACCCGTGTGTTCTTCCATACACATTCATCTATGCAAAAATTTTGAATGTGATGCAACAATGAGCGTCGGTGGCTCAGTGGTTTGAACACTTGACTTGTAATCTACAGGTCTTGGGTTCGAATCCCGCCATGTACCAATTTTCGATTTTTCGTATTTTCATATGTACATAATTTACCCGACGTTCTTACGGTGAAGGAAAACATCTTGATGCAACCTGCACATATCGGCTAAGAAATTCAAAGATATGTGTGAAGTCCACCAACCCGGACTTGGCCAGCGTGGTTGACTATGGCCTAGTCACCCCTTATTAGGGTAGGCTCCGAGCCCCTCGGTGGGGACGTATAGTGAGTGAGATGATGAT